AGGAGAGGAGAGGAGAGGAGAGGAGAGGAGAGGAGAGGAGAGGAGAGGAGAGGAGAGGAGAGGAGCTGAACGTTTCCTGTAATGTGGCTGAATGCGTCCTCATGAATGGATAGAGTGAAATATGCTGTCTGTGGGGGAGCAGGGTGGGAGCTGTCAGGAGCAGCTGGAACACGTATACACTGTCATGGCTTTTTAGTGGCATGGAACATTCTGCTGGCTGTGGGAATGCTGCAGAGGTATGCCAGCATTTTGCTGAGTAAGTGTGGTGGGAGCCCCACATGTAAACAGGGTTCAGCCACTGGGTGAAAGAACGGGCTGTTCTCCAGACTGGAGCTGGCTCTCAGCTGCACTCAACCTCTGCAAGGCTTTGTAGGTCAGCATGGGGCTAAGTTGCTAGCTAGACACTTTGGATGTGTGTCCCACTTGAATGTGTACTTTTGTTGGATAGCAGAGAGGGTACAGCTGTGGTCAAATACCATTTCTTACTCTGCATACAATTCCTAGATGCCCCTGTGAGGTTATTTGTATTATTAACCTAGTGCAAGAGAATAGGAACTCTACCAGGGATGCTCAGCTGAGGGCACACAAGAACAGAAAGAAGAAGACAAGGAAGGACAACCAAGAGGCCAGAAAAAGATGCAGAGGCAGAATTTCTCCCAACAGTGGGTTTCTTTGCTGTCTGTAACTGTGTGTCTGGAGACAGCTTCATCAAGCAACAGGGGTTGAATAGTTAAGCATAATACTTTATCATCTAATGCAGACAAGTAGCAGAGAGAAAAGAGCACAAGTCATGCAATAGGGACACATCTTCTAAATCAATGTCCAAGGAGTGTCATAGTGCCAACATTTGTGTTGCCTGAAGATGAGTTATTACAGCAACACAGTGAGGGAAAAAAACAATCCTGTTGTTTTTGTAAAAACGTGGGCTAGGGAAGTGCAAGTCAGTATGAGTGAAACAGGGACTAACAGTGGTGGATGCCAGTTTTGGTCTCTGTATGCCAAGAGGGAGATAGAAATAGCTGGAGAGAATTTGAAGGGAAAACATAAATATTACCCAGACAGTAGAAAACAATCCTTATAAATAGCTGCATGGGAGCTCAGCCACTGGCTGCAGAAGGGAAGGTAAGGGGTGATGTGATCCCTGCACAGTGAGACGTGCTTGGTATTTGTGGTGGTGAACTTTTTTAATAAAATCAAAGTCACAGAGCAAGAGAAAATAACCAGAAGGTCAAATTTAGATGAATTAACTTTCAAATAAAATGTAACACACTTGGTAGGAGAACACAGGAACAGCCTACAAGGAAATCTTTTCTCTCACCACTGCTTGATATACTGAAGGTTAGATCAGATAGCTCTTTAAAAGATGTGCTTTAGTCCAGATCTGGGAGAAACATTTGCTTGTGGGAATGTCAGCCTGGATTACTCTGGCATCTCTTCCTGTTTCAATACCCACACATTTGTGAACCAAATAAGTCCTCCTGTTCTGCCTTTCCTCTCCTTCCTGATTGCTCCTCCCAGCAGCGCAGTGAGGGCTTTCACACTGCGCTCAGCATTCAGCACAGCACCATTAGCTCTGCAGTATGGAAACGAGCAGGTTCAAATAGCACGCCTGTGTGTTCCAGTCAGGTGCCTGTGGGGAAATGGGGGGAATCATAGAATCATAGAATGGCTGAGGTTGGAAGGGACCTCAAAGATCACTGAGATCCAACCCCTGCCTTGGGCTGGCTGCCCTTCCAGCTCAGGGACCAGGGACCATTCCAATGGCCCTACACACCTCCAGGGATGGGGCACCCACAGCTTTTATGCAGCAGTGCCAGGGCCTCAGCATCCTCTGAGTACAGACTTTCCTCCTCACATCTGACTTAATTGTCCCCTCTCTTAGTTTAAAGCCATTCCCCCTTGTCCTATCTCTATTACATCATGTAAAAAGTTGCTCCCCTTCCTGCTTTCCACAAAATGCAATCAGGCAATTTGTTCTCTTCTGGCTTACCAGTAGTCAGGGGTTGTTTTTCTTTGAAACATCAAGAGCCTGAGAAGGGGAAGTAGAGAAAACTGCAAGCAGAGAACTCCTCTTAGGTACATGGCTGAGGTGAACTGCACCTGTGTTTGGGGTCAGACCGATGCCCCTTGGCTGGTCTTTGCCAGTGGCACGTATCAGATCAGTCTGGTGAGGACCTCAGTGCTTCAATCCTGCGTTCTCTAACAGTGCCCAGGCTCCTCAGCTTACGCATTTATTCTAGAAAGTTTCTAGGGAGAAGGAAAACAAAAACAAAAACAAAAACCCTCAGCCAAGCGAAGAAGCGGCGAGGCACGTTGTGCTGCGGGCAGGTGCTCGGGAGGGCGGGAGCCGCGAGCCCGGCGGTCCCCGGGTACCGGCAGCATCACCGGGTACCGGCAGCATCGCCGGGTACCGGCAGCATCACCGGGTACCGGCAGCATCACCGGGTACCGGCAGCATCGCCGGGTACCGGCCCCACCCCCGGGCCGCCCCCCGCGCTCACCGCCCGCGGCGCCGCATCTTTCGGGCGGGGCCACCGGCGGGACCCCGCCCGGCCGTCGGTCCCCGTCGTCCCCATCACGTGCTCGGTGTGCTGCATTGTGTTCGCGGCGGAGGGAGGAGGGCCGGCCGTGTCAGTGATCAATGTCATGACTTCCTCCCCGGGCCGGAGCGCTGTGGGAGCGGGGCCGGAGGAAGCTCGCCGATCGCCGGGGAACGAGGCGCGGCCGCGCACCCGCGGACCCGCGCGCGGAGCGGGGGAAAGATGAGCTCCGGGGACGTCGTTTGCACCGGCTGGCTCATCAAGTCGCCCCCCGAGAGGAAGCTGAAGCGATATGTAAGTGCGCGCGGAACCCGTCCCTCCCCGCCGGGCTGCCGTTCCCGGCGCGTCCCGACCCGAGCGGACGGAGCCGCGGTCCGTCTGTGCGCCCGCGGGCTGCGGTGCCCCGTCCGCGTGCAGCCCCGCTGTTGTTATGCAACGTGCTCTAGGTTAAAAACCGCAGCTCGCTTTCGGTTAACGTTACCGTAACCAACAGCACTGTAACAGAATTTCGGACGCGTTTTCCCTATGGAAGAGCGCAAAACCCCCTGGAAAAAAAAGAAAAGAAAAAAAAAAAAGCCAGCACATTCCATTAGGAGGCTCAGCTTTGTTAAGATGCCTGTAACGCTGCTAACGGCTGCGGTCGGGATACTTTTATTTAGCAGCTCAGTGCGCCAGAGACGGTCACTTAACGGTGCGGGGCGGCTGGGGCAGGGGAGCAGGAAGGGCAGGGGGCCGTGCTGCCCAGCCCCTCCTGGCTCTAGGTACGGGGACTGGAGCTGCTCCGTGCGAAACGGCTCCGCTCCGCGCTGCATCTGTTTTTCTGCAAAAAAACAAAACAAAACAAAACAAAAAACACGGGTGTGCGTTGCAAACATAAGAAACTGCAGAGCTGCAGAGCTGCAAGGAAGGCGTTGCGGGTAATATCCTTAACAAATAAATAAATAAAATCGCTTGGGACAGCGATAAAGCCGTAAGCCCGTCGGGGGCCGTCCTGCGCCCTGATGCTCCCCTTGCAGGTGCTGTGCTGATGCGCTGCGCTGTGCGCCCTGCCGGCCTGCCCTGCCCCGGGCACCGCGCTGCCGAGCGCAGCTCACGTCATTCGTTGTATTCGCTTCTGTTTATCAGCGTTTTTTTGGCCAGACTGCTGATGTGAGCTTTTTCGTATCGTATGAGGAATAAGTGCCTTGTGAAGAACGTGGCAGAAATCGTTTAGTGGTGTAGTTTTTCCTTTCTGCTAAAACTAGGAGAAAGGCGAATTTACTGAGGTTAGGATTGGATTTCCTTTTAACTTACTGTAAGCTGGAGTTTCTTCTCTTAGATTGTAGAACAGCATTGAAACGGCCGAATATTTGCTTTGTTCCACTAACGTTTTCCAGATCTAAAATAAGCACAGTGATGTGTCTCAAGGGAGCTGCAGATAAAATACGGACATGTAATTCTCATCGTGTGTTGTCCTGGGGGTGCTAATAGCCCTGTGCAGCAGGCACCAGGCAGTGCAGGAGCCACTGATTCACCCAGCTGGTACCATTAATAACTCTGCCACTGAAGCTATTTTTGATGACTCAATATTCATAAAAGGGCAAAGTAGAGAAAACAGAAAGTGATAAAGCTGGGGTTTGAAAGCCCCCATTGTGCAGTCAGGGGGACAGCCACGATGGGGGCTCAGAGTAGTGCTACACTGGCTGCAGTTCACCCCCATTGGGTTTTGCACTAAATACCTTGCAGTGGCTCTGTGCTACTCTTCCAGCAAGAATGACTAGATTAGCTGGATCTCTGCAGATTAGACTTTGTTTTCTGATTAGGAGGATGAACCACTCCTTTGTCCACAATAGAGCAGAAAAAAATCTGCTGTAAGCACAGCTAAGGCTGGTGTTCCCTCTCATATGACTGGTGACAGAGGAGATGATGCAAACCAAATGGAAAACGTCTCTCACGTGCTACAAGATGTTGTGTTCACTTCTCACAGTTCCACCAGTGTGGCAGCTTGCACATGTCACTCAGGGCTGGAAGGCAGCACAGCCAAACCGCCCTGCCCGCTTGAAAGCAACGGAGCTGGAAAACAAAGCTTGCTTCAGCAGGCTTCAGGAGGCATCAAGCATCAGCTGGTGCTGGCTCCACACAGCAGCCAACAGCCACACATCCCCATCATGGCAGCAGCCCTCGTGCCCGCTGGCACCGCCCGCAGCAGAGCTGGCTGGGGGCTCAGGGGCTGCCCACCGCCTGCTGCGTCCCTCTGTGTCACCTCTCAGCATACGTTTCCCTGAGTTCAGCATCAGGCCCAAGCTCTGCCTGAGCACGGATCCCTTCTTACTCTTCAGGCTCCACCCATCACTAAGAAAGTCCCATGACATTCATTGGGATCTGGGCAAAATGATGAATTTGGGAACTGGGAACTGCAGATAGTCCCTCTGAAGCCAGTGGGAATGTTTAATGTTTATAAAATTAAGGCAATGTTCCTTCGAAAAATGGGACACTGAAGACCAGAATGTGCCCTCCTTTTTAATTGCTCTCTAGTGAGACCAATCAGGCTTTCCATGCAAGGACAGGATTTGGCTCTAGGTTAGCAGTTATTTTCAAAACTTTGAGAAACAAAAAGCAGGTGTTCGGAGTATGTATTTTTCCTGTAAAGTCTCACAAAGCTGATGCTCTCAGTAGTACTATTCTTAGAAGTGTCTTATCATTCCCTAACAAAGGCTGCTCCCTTACATGTGCAGGAAACGAACATGAGATTAATTACCCGCGTGTAACTTTCTGTAAAAACACAGCGCTTAGTGCTAAACGCCGAGAATTCATTAGAAAGCACAGGGAGCCTCGCTCCAGCAGGCAAATACTCCGATACCATGCTCATTGTACACACAGTTCTGCTCCTCTGCCTGACACCTGAAATGTGAGTCTGCCATAGCAGCCTGGCTGGGGAGGCAGAGGACTCTCCTGGGAGAACTGTGGGTGTTTGCTGCCATTCTTTGTCCCCTATGTGTGACCTGAAAGTTGTGCTGCTCTCATTTCCCCACTTTGTTTTAGGGTCTGTTGCCCATTAGGGCCATGTGTGCTCAGGGGAGCCGGGCGTGGGGCGGACAAGAGAGGAAGAAGGCACTCTGCAAAACTGGGAAGTGGCATGGTGAGGTGAAGTCTGTCCTGCTCGAGGCTGAAAATGCAATTTCAGACAGACTCAGACCTGCGGGAGGAAAACCTGGCCCCGCTGGAGATGTCTGTTATGGGCATTAGTGGATCACGAGTACCAGCCTCTGCAGGAAATCAGATGTCATGGAAGAACCTGCTGAGAGTCCAGTGGTTGCTCAGTGCCTTGTGTTAGAGCTAAATGCTTCCAGCCAGGGGGTTGGGTTAGGCAGAAAGAGCCCCCTGGGGAAAAAGTGTGTGTTTGTTACAAATAAGAATCACAACGCTCAGGACGGTGTTGTAGCCCAGTTCTGTAACACCAGCCTTGAACATCAAGCTTTATGTTGCTTTTCATGTTGAGATGTATCTGATCACTGAATCATAATAGTTGTTTTCTGCTTAGTGAAATAGGGAGAAAATCACTTCATGGTCTGGAAAACAAGAACATTTTACAGCCAGTGCAGAATGTCACAGCGAGGGAAATAAAAGCATGGCAAGGGCACAGAGGATGCTTAATGAAGAGATAAATGCCATGGAGAAGGTATGCTTTTCATGTGCCGATACGGAGATGGAGATCAGATTTTTAGCAGGCAGCTAATCTGAACCCACCCTTGAGCCACTGTGCTGTAGCTTCTCCTGCCCAGGAGCAGCAGTGGCAGTCAGCAGCCCGCCTGCTGCTCGGTGAGTGCTCCTTAGGTGGGCTGCAGGAGTGAAGGCTGCAGGCAGACACTTGCTTGGTTAAGCCAGCGCTGCACAGCTGTACCCCAGCTGAAGAACTATTTTTAATCTCCAGTACTGTACAAACTGATGAGGGAAGACCTCTTGCTCAAAAAAAAACCAAGTCTCTCACTTTACTTGATGAACTGGATTCGTTAGACATTATTGAAAATCAGAACTCCTTCTCAGCATCTCTAGAACAAGAGTCCAAAATGAAACAAAGGGCAGAAAATTCAGCTTTGCACTTCTTCACACTCTACTTGTTGGAGTGTCTGAGCTGCAAAGCCAGAGGGCTCAGCTTGCATCAGATGAGCAACCTGACCAGGTTGAGACTAAGAGTTTACATCCATTTGGATTTTTGAGTATGGGATCTGTGCCACACATGGTATCTGCAGGCAAGTTCTGGTAAGTGAAGTGAAGTTTAAAAGATGGCCTGTGGAGTTATGGCTTCCACAGCAAGTTGGGTAGGTTCACAGAACCAAAATTAGCAGTGTCATAAATCAAAAAGATAGGAAAGTAGTGTCCCTGCTGCTGTCTGTGTGGGAAGGGCCATCAGAAGGGCACAGCAGGTAGCACGAGATGGCTGCCCCTGCTGGGGGACTGGCTGAGACTTGACCATTGTGCCCATCGCTATGGTTGTACGAGATAAGAGAATTTAGATGACTTCCTCATTTTTAACTGAAGTTCTGATGTTTATCAGGAGAGCAAATGGGAAGTTACTGGCCACTAAGAAGAAAAAGTAAAGTAGAACTATGGAAGAGTTTGCTCAAGTAATAGGAACAAGAATCACTCAGCACAGCGAGGGGTGGGTGGGATGTGGAGCTGCTCTCTGCTCTAGCATCGTCTGGTGACACTGCCATGTCTAAAAGAAATCCCCAAGTGCTGTGTGAACTCAGATACTTCTGCTGCTGGTTTGGGAGCTGGGGTATTTTTCAAAAAAATAACTAGAATGTAACTTCTGTCCGTCAGTCTGTTCATTTCCAGATGTTCCTACAAAGCCTCTCATGCTCTGCCCTCTCTGAACAGAGAGCTATGACCACCTTTCATACCTTGCTGGAATCCATGTCCCCAACTTGCATTGAGATAATTGAGTGCATTTAGATAATGTGTGCAAATTTTGGGAAGGTGGGAATTAGAGTGCCCTGTGATGAAGATTATGGAGCCTTTTAGCTGATCCCCTTCTTTGTGAAACACTGAACAAAGAGATCTCACAGGTAAAACAACAGCAGAAAATGTATTTTAGACAGGAGCTTCCATCCTTAAATGTTTGTAATTAGCGTGATGCAAACTGGACCACGTTCCACCATTTGATCGTGCTTTGGTAGGTTAAGCACAATGTTTATTCTAGACCATTTTCTTCCATCTTGACTGCATTCTGGTAGTTCAAATACAGTGTTTAACGAGATAGGCTGACTTCTAAGAAAAAATAATTTCTAAAAAACACTGCTGTTCTTGGCAAC